TTTTCAATGATGTTTATATTTTTTTTCCTGTCTACCGTTATCCGCTTTTGAAACGACAACAATGCTTAGAATCCAATATTTTTTCAATAGATAAATTAATTTAGTTGATCCTTTGAAGTTAAATAGTACGACATTTTCAGTATATTTTTTAAAATAATTTAAAAATCAAGATTTTTTTACGCAGAATAAATTTTTGACAAAATTTTAACTCAAAAATGAATAATTGTAAATACTAGAAATTTCATCAAATACACGTATTAGCATTTTTTATAGGTAGATGATATAATTTTCATGAGATTTTACTCTTTTTGAGATATTTATAGACGTTTACATTTTCAATTTTTTATTAAGCTTTTTTAAAATTATACATAAAAAAATGTTTTATTCGGTAAAAATGTATATAAATATACAAGGTTTTCATTAGTTGTATGCTTTTTAAAAATATTAAAGAAAAATAAGCACAATTTTTAAAAAGCATTTGATGTTCATATTTTCAAAATATTTGTCAAAATAATGAAAATCTGAGTATTATTTTGTAGTTATAAATTTATAAAATGTTTAAATTTTATAGGTGTAAATTAAAAATTTAATAAAAGATTTCTCATAACCACATAATTTATTCTGAAACTTAACAATTTAAAAATATATATAATAAAAGTTCAAATTTGAACAATATTAGATGATTAAAATAAGAATATCAATTTTAATTATTTTGCTGTAATTTAAAATTATTATTTGTGAAGACTTGAAACTTTTATACAGATCATTATATTATGTGGTATACATAAAAGCAATTAAATACCTTTTTTTAGTTATCTAATTTTCCTCTTACAAATTCAGAGTAGAGCTATAAATGTATTGAATTTATAACGGTATATGTTTTTTTTTTTCATTTGAAATTTAGCCATTTCCATTGCTTATTATCAGTTTTATTTTAATATTTTATTTATTAATTATTATTAGTAAGTATATAGGTACTACTGTACATACTCATTAATATTTATGTCTACCTTTAAAATGTCAGCAATAAGAGTTGCTTATAGTAGTATGATAAATACAAAATGTTTCTTTTTACAACATTGTATTTATTAAGTTGTCCAAACAACCTTTGCTATTCAGATAAGAACTATTGTGACTATTATGTACGGTGAAGGTAAGTATCTATGTCAAATATAATAATAGCGTTCAAATAATCTTTACCTTACATTTTTAATTCATGTGTATCAATAAATAAACATTGGCAAAAATAACAAAACCGTTTATTTGATTACCTTTTTCAAGTTCTTTAAATTTAAATTTGTGATAATATTATGTTTAATATGTTTTATTATGTTTGTTTGCTTGTCTAATCTGAACTCTTAATGAAAGGCTGATAGGTATACCCATGTATAACATTAAATTATTTTTAAAATGTGGTCCGCGTAAGTGACTAATGGCTATTGTGCTCTACGAGTATAATATACTGTGTGTATATATACAGTTATAGTATTGTATTTTTTATAAGAAAAAAAGAATCCCTTGGATCACGTTGGTAACCGCAGGTGGTTGTCAACCGTCGTTTTAAAGCGATTTATTAGTGATGATGATAAGGTAGTGCAAACATATATTATTTTATGACTCATCGAAATTTCAGTGTAATTTAATATTTTTAATGGGCAAAATACTATGGTATTGTAATCGAAAGGTACGGACATAAATAAATTACGTACTATTACATACAGAATAATTTTTTTTTTCACGAAAAAAAAAACTAAAAATTACAAAAATGTTTAACATTTTCTTTATTTTTCCTTGAGTATATTTTAATCATATTACATATATTTTTTTAAATATTATTTAGATAATCCTATGTATCCTGAGAATTCTGGATTATTCTCATGTATTAACATGATTTTATTACCCTTGTTGACAAACATAAATAAAGTATTGGTACACATTTTTTGGTAGTGTTAAGTTGCAATTTCATCAAATCGTCTTATCTAATCTTTAAATGGTTGTCAGTAAAAAATCATTCAATATTTGATTATTATACGTGGACATTTTAATTAAAAATCTCAAAGCTTAGATTTTGTTTAAATATCAATACATTTAAATATAAAAAAGTCGCTTTTTATCACTGGTCAGTAGTCATTAAATGCCAACAAACACAAAGATAAAAACTAGGCCAATATAAAATGTTTATCTTTGTATACATACAATTTTCCAAAAAAGGTATAAATTTGTGAAAACAATTTAGAAAATATTAAATAGTGTCATCACAAATGGGAAAGATCAAATACAATCCCCCTGCCCCTCTCATCAGAAAAGAAATAAAAAATCTCACGACGTGATGACAATCAGGCAATCAGGAAGGTATTTTGAATAACTCTGTGAAAAAAAAATTGGAAAAATGTTAAATAGTGTCGTCACAAAATATGAACAGAAAAAAGGCCTGTTCTTTTATATGTATAAGGATGTTATAATTTATTATTCAGTATCCACATAATATTTTAAATTAAGTATTATTAGAAACGCAAAATATAGATATTCTTCATATCCTTTTAAAATATTTCGAAATATAACTATTATAAGTTATAATTTATAATTATGGATGTTAAGTTTAACACGGCTATCGGTATATAAACTATAATATAATGTTTAGCTATGTAGTTAATCAAACATTAGGTAATCACCAATTTCCATTTTATATAAAATTTAGCACTCGCAGATTTCATGTAATATTTAATTGTGTTTATTTAGTATCAAAACATTTATTATTATTACATAATATATTTGTTAACTATAGGTTACCAAATTTAAAGGCACGTAAAAATAAAACATTAATACAATACAAATATATTCATAATGATAATACTATTTTAATATCTCAAAATCATTTTGTTGATCATCTCATTCGTTCTCCAAACTTCATAAATTAAAAATGTTTCTTGATTATTAATTGCATAATAATATCTTAAAATCTATATTAAAGAATATAGATTATTGGTTGGTAGTTGGTATGGAATAAAAATATATTTTATTTTAGCATTTTTTAACTTTTACTAAATATTATAATTATTATTTTTATGTTTCTCTTAGTCCCTTAAATAATGGATAGTATATTATTAAATAAACAAATTGTGTACATTTTACTTCAGTTTATTGAAATATTGAAAAATATGTTTTCCTTTTGATAAATGTAAATATTGTAAATTAACTTGGAATACCTAGATACAGAGTTTAAATAAAAAACCAATAAAAACATTATGTTTATCAAGATAATTGTTTTAAATTTAATTTGTATATAGGTTGTCTATTTAAGATTTTAAATGTTTGTACATAGGAATATAAATGAACATTGGAACGATTAAGAACCAATTGTGCAAATACCTATTTAAAACACTATCAATTATCATATAAAATATACCAATTGAATATTAATGATAGTAATTATCAAAATGTAAAATATTTATTTAAGTTTACATTATTATTATTGTTATTTTCATAGATAATAATTAATAAGAATGACAATAATCAAATAGATATATATATTGAAAGAGGATTATTTAATTGTTGTACTTGTAAGCTAATTTATTTTCAAAATAACATTTTATCGATTTCATTTTATATACTTTTATATAATATACGTTTATACATTAAGATTAAACTTGAAAAATATGTTATTAGTTTTTATAAAATACTGTAAAAATATTCGATGACAATCAAAAAGTATAGCTGTATTGATAATAGTTATTAAACGTGTTGTGTACTTTACGTTCTTATTCAAAGTTATACAAAATCTTATCATAGTTTTTAAATAAACGAGACTTATCGCCTATCGGTCAGGTATCAGTTAATTACCGACCAAGGGAAATCGTCTATGCACGTGAATATATATGCTCTAAATACTTAAATACAAAATTAAATATCTTGATTATTAAAATAATGTACTGCCATAGCCGAACGGGTGCAGAAAAAATTGTTTCCATAGTTTTTGTCTGTACCGTAAAATTGACTGAAAAATTCACTCTTCGATGAAATTATTAAATTCAAATTTACGCTAATTGTGGATAATAGTTTAAATCACTGATTTTGATCTACTAACGTGTTTATCAGAGAAAATTTATTTTAAATTTTTACACTGTTTTTAAATTAATTTTTTTTTCAATATCTTAGATACGAGAAGACCATACGTGATTACTCTTGTATACGCTTGTCGGTATAATGAAATATTTTGTACGAGTCGTACCGTCCGCGTACCTACCGGCCTATGATCGTGTTGTGTTACAATTATTACTAATTTGTCATACGCAGGTACACAATTTGCTGTCATTTAGAGCGAATGACAAGGTCTGGTCATGTCCTGCAGCACTAGGATAAAAACAATCGACCAGACTAAAGTAATGCAAACGGCGCGTCGACCACGCAAAGCAATTATATATTATATAATTACTATAAAACGGTTAGGTATACAGCAAAAAGTAGACTCGACTTCTAACGGTCTGAAAAGTCAAAAATAAATCGATCCGGTATCGGGTAAAAAAATCAATCGCGCGCTTTAATACGAAACGAAACGCGAATAAAACTGTCATGTCCGTCATTATTCGCCCGTCCCTCTCCTCGGAATAAGTACCCGATAGAGACGTCCTTGGACGCGTACGAAAATATTCTTGGCGTTGAATTTCCCACAATATTACAGCGTAGGTACTACTGGTTTGCCATTATAGTAGAACTACACAAATGGGTATACAATCGATCAAAACTATAACAATAATATTACCTACAGGAGTGGAAATTCGGGCGTTATAATAAATTAGTCGGTCGGCATACGATATTATACGTTGCACGGGTCAATACGAGTCGAGGGTGGTTTACAAAATCTATTGCAGATAATGACGTGTTTGGCGATAAGAGATATATCCAATAATAAACCGATGGGCCCCACCGCGTGGTCTTATCTCTGTAAATAGGCGGCGGCCACGGTCGAGCATTTGAGTCAAATGTGTGTTCCTATTTTTCAATCGAGTAATACGATTATTTCTGTACAAAACGCGTCCCGGTGCAGAGGAGTCAACACATGATTGCATTCTGCTGAGATTAATCGCGCGTGCACCGGTTTTCGTATTATAATTTACCGTCGACATTATTATTATTATTTTTTTTTTTTTATTGCCGTTATTGTTAAAACTCTCATTGCACTCTAAACTTTTTTTTCATTTCATAAATTTCCGAGTAATAACGTCATGCAAATATCGTGAGTTTTGAGGTGACATCCGTTTTTACCATCGTTGTTTTTGTATTCTCCTTTCACCAACGCCTGTTGCTTTTGAAAATGTTCATAAACGAATTTCCATTCATGGAGTCCATGCCGTCCAACAACAATTTTGTACTCAAGTCCGAACCGTTCAGTGAAGGCATTTACAATGGAAACGTTTGGATTACAGGTAATGGTTTTCACGACAACGAACGCTGTACCTACTACAAGAGACGTGTACATCACGATTTTTGAGATAGGTGTAATCAAAAAACGGATTGACAAATCCTTGTAAATAATTGGAATTTAGTGAAGAATATTAGATAGTATGTACCTAATACGATTCTATTTATATTCAATTTTCCAACAGAAACCATAAACTGTACACGTTTGTTATATTATAAAATGTATATTTATACTCGTATATGTATATTATACATATATAATTCCTGTGTACAGCGTATTATTGTATATTATATAGGTAATAGTGTACTACCTTTATTGGGTAGATATCTGATTTTACTGAATAATTATGCAGTTTGTGAAATATATTGTTTCATTACATTTTCCAATGACCAATAATTATATTATGATTATTAATTATTATTATTATTATTATTGATCATATTGTGTTGGTAATAATTCGTAAGCATTATCAGCGAGTATATTTCCTGTTTGTTCATGCCTGTAAATTTATTGGGAAACAAGTTATAAATTCTATTTTAACTTTTTTGTTTATTGTATTTTAAAATATTACGATCATCTTAAACGTTCTGAAAATCATACTACCTACAGGTTAAACATTCAAACAATTATTCATGTATATATATATAATTTCTTAATTATAAATATAGGTATATTTTATTATATTATTATTATTATTATTATTATTATTATTATTATTATAGTTATCACTTTTACGATTCTTGATAATTTATTTTTTTTTTTCTAGTAATATAGAGTAGGTACCAAATTAAATTTAAAATCTTACATTGACGTTTTGATTTTCACGTATTTGTAATAATACTTAATTTATGGCTGACGTATATTCCTTCGATTAATGTAGATTTATTTTTTAAATATAATATTTGTTGTCACTTTATGGAATAAAGATACCATAGTATATTACTAGATACTAAATTTTTGGAGTTTATGGTTTTAGAATGTGTTTAGTCCGTTCAGTTAACGGTGGTAATGCCTTAATGGTATTATATCATTATGTTTTTATCGCCTCAGTCTGATGCTGTGAACTGTGGTTTAGACCAATAATATTTATTAACATTTGGTTGAAAACCGTTTTAATGTGTATTCGCACATTTTATTACTTTGTTTTAAATGGAATTAATAATACGAAATGGATAATACCATATTACTGTGCACCTACTCATGTTGAATAAAATTATTCGATTTTAAATCCTATTTTTCAATATAAAATTAGATTATACAATTTTATGAAATTAAAATATCTGCTATTGTGAATTACGTTGTTATAAATAATGATGAATTTATGGTTAATTATTATTGTTCAACTAATACCAAACTCCTCAATTAAAAATAATAATAATTTAAAATTAATTTTAGCTTAGGATATTCCGTGATATTTTAAATCTGTCTTATATCTTAGTATTAACTAAGAAATTAATAACTGATGTCTAATAAATGTCTTGTTAGGTGCCGTCTATTATGGTAAACTATTTAGAAAGTATCTGTTCTCCGCATTTGAATAATTCTGATCGTTAAGTGTTTGCGAATTCCCGCAATATATAGTTCAAAAAGCTTTTGTTTTCATATTATATTTTTAATATCATTTATTTTATCACTCATTATGTTCATTATTTTACTCGTTACCCAATTATTATAGAATTCTCAAATAAATGTATACTGAATATGAATCATGATATTATATCTCAGGTGTTGATAGAGTGTATGACATATTCATTTGTAGAACTAACCTATACTTATTATATATATCAAGTATAGATTTTGTATTGATGTGTGTATTACTGTGTAATAGTTTTTTTTAGTTTTTATTGTTAAAAAACAGGTATACTTAAATAATATGTCTAGGTATTTAAAAGAAAATATGTGAAATATTGTACAACTTTGTTAAACTTATTATTTACTTATTGTAAAAACTTAAAAGGTAACATATTTTATTACCTTTTTTTTATTTTTTATCATTAGATTGACTGATAATAAAATATCATATGATGTTATATGCGAAAAAATAGATGATAACAAAAATGTTTACGTTGACGATGTTAGTACCTATTTTAATTTTAGGTGAACTAATGTGTATTGGTAACATTTACATTTTTTAGTCTATTGAACCTTATTGTTTGACATTTTATATAACTGAATTATACAGAAATTTAAACAATAATATTGATCTAACTACAGCAGCTTTTGTTTTAAATCTCGCATAGTAGGTAACTATATTCAATTTAAAGTTAAATGATCAACATATATTTATTGTTTCTTCTTATCTTATCACATAATATATAGGTATTCTGTAATAAATCCATATCAAAAAATTGTGTTATTTATAATTTTAATTAAAAAATAATAATTTTATTAACCAGGGTTTTAGTTTTGTACATCATAGTACAAAGAAAGTAAGATATTAGGTATCATGTTTTTTTTTAAATATTTTTTAGAATTTTAAATATAATTATAAATGTTTTCACCGTTAGTGTTAGTCTGCTCGACTACTTTTGAAAAATATATTCCAAATTATAATATCACTTATGTACCTATTGATTTTTGCTCACATCTAACGATCTAACACTAGGTATAACTAGTCGCGCAATATTAGGTACTTAAAAATTATCACTTTGTGTTTTTGCTTAGAATAATTTTAACTACAAACGAACAAATCATTTCTAGTCAACTGCGCGCTCTATGAATGTATTTTTTTCCAAGTTTAAAGTTATCTATTAGTTTGTCAGGCACCGGAGTAGGTATTTAATTAATTTCAATATATTTGATCTCTAATATTGCGTTTGCTATTTGTGTAATAATAATAGCGATGCTGGTACTGCGTTACTGTGTGTACAGCATCGTTATACGAAATACAAATAACACGCTATACTCCCAAGTCGTATACTGATTTCAATCCTAATGTAACAATACAAATATAGTTAGTACACCTATAGGTAAAATGTTGATAACCTCTGATCTTTTCTTAATTATTGGCTTCTTAAATGTTTATAAAATAAACATGAGTCGGAAAACCATATGTATAATAATGTGATATCGAAGAGAGTAGGTAGCTGGTGTTATATTAATTAATACATAAGAATCTTATTATCGTGCTCAAGTTTTACGTTATTATATTTTTGTTTTAAGTTTTTAGAAATCTATTATATAACAACAATTTATATTCATATTTAATATTATTTATCCATGATATTACTTATGGTTTAATGAAAAACTAATGTTTGTTCATCGTATTATAACATATTAGTTTATTAAATACATTGTTATTCCATATATATAAAAATGTAGAATATTGATTTATTAATTTTAGATTAAAACGAATTTAAATTTAGAACACGCGTCCATTATAAATGTCTATGTTACATGTTTTTAATAGGAAATAACTATAAAGTGGTAGATAATAATTTATTTATATAATATTGTTACCTATAATAATGTATATAATATAATTATAGAAGGGAAGAAAACTGCGGGGTCAACCCCGAAATTTATTATTATTTATTTAATTAAAAAACGTAACTCTAATATAGGTCCAATTATATATAATGCAAGAATCAAAATTAAAACTAAAGAACTATTAAAAATGGGCGAGAAATTTACTGTACATAATGGAAATTCTAGATCTACTGGGTATCTTATAAAGTCAAAATAAATTAGCTCGTTTATTCATTTAGTTTTTCATGTGCATTCCACATTTATTGAATACTACGGTTTAGCAATGTATTACATTTTTGAATCAAATAAACGATTATTATATTTTTAGATAAATTATAAAAAGTTTGTAACTTCTAATTTTCTTATAAAATACCGTTTTGTATAGTTGATACGAATATTCTGGCATTCAAGATAATGCTCAACTCATATTTTTTTTTTCATTTACGTATTTATAAAAAATCTGAAAATTTTAATTTTTAGGATTTTTGTGTATACTTAAGACCATATTTTTAAACACTTAGATTCTATATATTTTTTAACAAGTTTCCTGTTGTGATTTTGTGAAATTTTTCAAATGTATTATTCTCTTATTGTTTTTTATATTACAACGACAGTTGGTTCATATGCATTTAACATTTTCATCGTTAATTTATGTTCTCTAAATATTAGACGCTTAAAAAATTCAGTAGGTTTACTATTTACTTTTTATTAATTATCATATTAAAATTTTGATTTTTGGTCAATAGAAGAGAATGATAAGAAAGTTTGGTTTTATCATATTAGAATGTTCGACTTTTGTATCAATACGGAAAATTCATCTACCTATTTAATTCTTCTTAATCTAAGTTTAAAACTTAAAAATCATTTTTGTGATTAGCTTATTCTAAAATATATATTATATTAATTATTTTTTTATACTTTATAATTTATTATACATTTGCATAATGTTTTTTTGTCAAAATATAAAAGATAAAACCCTGAAAATGCATAGGTGCTACCTGAACTCTTCTTTTAACACCCGTTTTCTAGTATATTATTTACAAATATCAGACATGTAGTTAACGTGAGACGTCTTAACTCAACGTCTCTGCCCCCGTGAACAGAGTGGGAGTGCAACGACGTGACATGTGACATTTTTGTTCGTGCGTGTTCGAACGAGCACTAAACGTGATGTAAACTACACCTCATATTATTATTATGAATATTATGGCTGTTTTGCCGGTATACGCACGTGGGACTAACTACTGAATTATATATCAAAATAAATTTCGTATCGTCACTACGATGTATAACTGTGCAGTATACCTGTGTGTTTGCTACGGCGCTATGGTGTGTATAAAACTCTTCCGGTGTGTGGTGTAACGGCTGCGTGCTCCGTATTTCGTGCGACGGCACACTGTTGCCGTTAAATACACAACAATATTATTATATTATTAAAAAATGATATTATGGAAATGATAAAGCGTACACGGAGTGTTCAATACCATTATATTATGATATCAATACCCGTGTATGTTATTGTTCGCTGTGCAGGCAGTACCTGTACATAATACTCATTATTATCGGCGTGTAGGTAAATTATGTACACCGGGCAAAGTCCGGCGGCCAGAGATGAGTTTTTTATTATCTGTTGGTTTTCGTGATATCCAAACCGCGAGCTGTGCTCGTATAATTATATATATACATACATACATTATATATTACATATTGATAAAACCTAGTAAATAAGGTAATTTGAATATTAATTTGTAAACACAAATACGATGATGTCAAAAAGGACGGCATAGGCACCCGGCTATAGGTAGATGTACGCGGCAGTAAATCGAGAAACGCTGTCCGGTGAGTATTATCGCAGACGGCTGCGCGGTATTTTAATATTATAATATATGTAGTCGGCGTGTACTGTAGGCCTCCATCATGCCCGACCGTTACTATTGTTCTAGTATTATTTTTGTTTTCTTTTTGATCATCATTATTCTTATATCATTGTAAAATATTTCCCGCGTCCGTCCGTCCGTCCGTCGCCACCAAACGTTCTCTAGTGTAAACATTTTTCGACTATCCCGTTTATATTAACAAAGGTAATAATATCGCAGGTAAAGTACAAAGTTCAACAGTGTACTGTGCACTGATACAAACACCCGAGCGGAAATGTGTAAGTTATTTACGAGAGACGTATTCATTAATACATTATTATTGAATTGCATTGGTTTTCGGTACGTATTTTGTTTTTGGTGTTCATCGGCTTAAAATAATATTATACAATCATCATAGTTGTAGACTTAAATGGTTTTATTGGTATTGTACGTTCATAAATGTCGTTGCGTAGGTTACTGTGTTACTACCATGATTAGGACTTGGCACTGAATTATATAAACGGCATTCACTATTCATAATACGCATAATTAATATTATTATTGTTATTATACCACCTATCATATTATTTGCATTAAGCGTCGGTTTACTATAGTAGTATAGTGAAAGTTTCTTATCCTTTAACTCGATAACACATTATAAACGATGTTGTTTTTAATAAAACTTTTATATGCTATTGTTACGTTTAGAACACCCTAGCTTAAACCAGATGTTATTAAAAAATATGGACCTTTATGTTAACGGTGGGGGTTAATTGTATAGTTTGGGAAATGTTATTGTAGATGTTCTTTATTTCTTCAGTCGCAGCAAACCGATTACAAACGCCTCGACATTTCGACTTGTTTCTTTGTTCTAAAAGTCAAACAGAATGTAGCAAATATTAGTTTTTGTCGTCGGGACGTTGTGATTATTTTATCCAGGTACAACGTTCAATATTGTTCCTCCTCCCTCAGAAGTAGGTAAATTAAAACGAAATATTTCTGCACCGTATGGTGTCCATAATGTTGTCTATACTATAGATTATCATAGGTACACAAACGTTGTATACATTAATAAGTCTGAACTAACAATCATTATCGTAGTGATAATTAATAATTAAGTTATTTTTAAATCTGTATAAACATATTATTTAAATAGGATCTAAATTTTATCGTAATAAAATTATAGTACCTACTAAAATAATAAACGTCTCAAAGAAAAATTTGTATTTGCTGACCTATAAAACTAAACGATATTAAGATCGATGCATCAGAATATACAATATTGACTTCTCCATTAACTACGTTTACGAAGTCACAGGCCACATAATATTTTATCTCGCTGGTTCTTATATATATTATATTAGTGATCTAAAAGTTATTTTATGCTTTTTATTTTTTAACGTCGGTCAAATCACATACAATTCCGATTTATTAGCGTTTTAATTTATTGCTTTTAATTTTTACTGTAACATATTGCTAGCAACACCGTATATAGGTATGCCATGTATAAATCACATTATATAGATATTACGTAATTTATATCGATAATATATTTTGTGCAACTATAATGAAATGATGGCATTATAGTGAATAATTGGGAGATATTACGCATATTGTAATGGCTATATTATAAAAACGCTATTAATTACTATGCATTATACGTTAATTGTGATTTCGTGCATATGATACTCTGGTGCCTTATACAGTTATACCTAATCAGTAATCATACTGTACTTAGATACTCAGATGTGCTCGAGGGTTGGCTAATGATCAATTCATCTAATTTATAAAAATATCTATATAATGTTGCAAATGTAGTGCAACTCGCTTTAGATTCACTATATCATACTCGATTACCTATATCAATACACTGCATTTTGATATACGTTTTTTAAATGTTTCTTAGAACGACTAATCATCTTGATACCAAATAAACCAAATCACACAAATATTTTATTTGCCTCTGGGAATATCCAAATTTTTAAAAAATGTATCATTAAAGAGAATGATGTGAGATAACTGATTCTCACTAGTACGTTGATAAAATGTAAACCCACATTTTCTTTAAGCTTGTTTTTATTGTCTCTATCAAGTATTTGGTTATACATATATATACGAATAATAATTGTTTTTATAACTAAAAGACCTATCTTAAGATTTTCTTGTAAACAATATTTTATTTGTGTCACTTGATTTTTCAAAGTTGAAATTTAAGATTAGGTTTTTTTTGTTGCACTTGTATAACAATAATAAAATATATCGTTACAAATAAACTAAGAAAAACTGATTTATAGCAGAATCGGACCTCAACGGCATGCCGGTACATCGCGAGCAGACGTATTTGCAGACCATTGACACGCCGCAGGTACACTCGCCGCCCATGACCAACCAAAACCAGGCGTGCTCTATCTGTGGCGACCGGGCTACCGGCAAACATTACGGGGCGGCATCCTGTGACGGCTGCAAAGGATTCTTCCGTCGATCCGTTCGCAAAAGCCATTTCTATTCATGCAGGTTAGTACCTTTGATAACCGCTTTTAAAAATTGTTTTTCGTTTTTCGTGCATGACTAATTGCTGTCATTTTCCTCGACAAAACTGCAGCACGATCGACGAGTTTCCTTGTAATTGTAATATCAGTTAATATTATTGTATATTAATACTGTTTGTTTGCATCGTTTTTCTGGACAGATTTTCAAGAAATTGTATCGTTAACAAGGACAAGCGCAATCAGTGCCGATATTGTCGTTTGCGGAAATGCTTCAAAGCCGGGATGCGAAAAGAAGGTAAATCGCGGCGAAAAGACCATGGATTATTTAACAGCATAATAAATTTGACTTTTATAATATAATACACTCATGGGCGTAACTAGGAAGAAGGGTTTGAGAATATTAGCACCTCCCAATTTTAAAATTAGTACCCTCTTTCGTGTTTATTTTCAAAACCTCTGTTTATGGGGAAAAAAAAAAAAACAGCTTGACATCAGACATCAAAGACTATTTGAGTATAACTATATTGTATTAATTATTATGAAATGTAATCAACTTAGGTGTTCGATTTTAAATTTTTAAACATTTTGGATTTTTGCTCAAAAAAACTATTAATGCCTCATAAATCATAATAATAATTTAAATTAAATTCTTAGAAAATTCAGAGCTTAACATCTTCATTTTTTTTTTTTTTTTTTTTTTATTGAAATTATTGCGCATATGAATAGATACACCTATTATATGTTTAAATAAAATTAACATTTAATGAATTTTCCAGCTGTGCAAAACGAACGCGACCGAATCAACTGCAGACGACCCAGTTACGAAGAGCAACCATGCGCTAGTGGTTTATCCGTCACATCACTATTGAACGCCGAAATCTTGTCCCGCAGCGAATCCGATGCAAGTGATAAAGTTTTAATTATATAGATACAATAATTACCACGTAAACAGCACCTGCAGTTTTCAAATATATTTTTTTTAATTAAAAAAAATTGTTTCCATCTTAACATTTTTTTTCTGTAGAATAATTTTAAATCGTTTCACGTCGTTTTAACAAACAGTATTACAATTAATTATACATCACACCGTCCACACCTTTTTATCTATAGAAGTAATTAAAATTTTAATTTCGAGTGTCGAAACTTGAATTAATGTATATTTATAGTATACATATGAAAAATGGAATAGTTCTAGTAAAATATTCAAAACTTAACGGGTCAAGTATTCATATCCGTAAAATTAACATTTCAAATGCGATAATCGAATATAAGAATAAACTGATTATTTTCGTGTGGATTTCTTTAGATAATAAATAAATAATTTACAACAACCACAATAAAAAATTCATAATTTAACTAGTATTTAGGTTAATATTTATTATTTATCTATCATAACACTAGAGTTCATTTACGGTTACGTGATGTTTTTTAGAACACATGTAGATATAAATTAACAAACTAGTTCTATAAAATAAATAATAAAGATTTGGTGTCCATGAAAGGTCCTCGTGTTAATCCCCGGACAATGATAAATGGTCCTTAGTATAATAATTCTAAAACATGACAGGTAGAAATAATAGTTTTCTCTGATCAAAATATCTTTTACTTACCGATTACGTGTAAATTATTGTTTTAAAAAAATAAAATTATTTTTGTTAGTTTGTAACGACATTAAAATAGCACGTTATTTCATTTGATATTCAATATTTATTATGAATTATGACCTTTTACAGACGGCTGAGGATACTAACTTAGCGAACAAACACGTGGCGAACATCGGAGACGTGTGCGAATCTATGAAAACCCAATTGCTTTTCCTGGTCGACTGGGCCAAGCGCATACCCGCGTTCACAGAACTACAACTGAATGACCAGGTACATTAATATCATTTTTGTTTTTTTCACAATGTGATTGTGGAAAGTATAAGTCTCATATGTAACGTAACGCGCTGTTCTTTAATAGGTTTCGTTGTTGCGGGCTCACGCGGGAGAACACTTGCTCTTGGGTTTGGCCAAAAGATCGTTAATGCTCAAGGACGTGTTGCTGCTGGGTAACAATCGTGTTATAACCCGTCACGTACCCGGTAAGTGTAAACTAATCATTACGATTAAAAGTAATGAGTATAATATTTACTAATTGCCTACAAAAATAAATAAGTAAATAAATATTACATAGTATACGCATTTAGGTGTAACGCATAAATAATTTTTATCGGGACTTAAGTCCCCCAACACATTGACTCGGAAAAACGTAGGGTGTAGCCCAAAGAGAAGCTCATTTACTCTCGAAACTGTTAAGTGTTTGACGTACAAATACATGTAAATTTTAATTTACATTCAATATTTGTTTTATGTACTCATCTCGACTTGTATTAACGTCTTTACAGTTTCGGTTAGATATGTCTCCCGAGCTCTCCGTCCTCAATTTCGCCAATGTTATGTATACATTTTCAATTTTTCACACAATTCCGTACCGTAATTTTTTAATTACATATATATTATATATATATATAATGCCATGTCCACAATGAAGCGTCATGTAATTATGCAAGTTTAAACTATTCTCTCTCTCTCTCTCTCTCTCTCTCACCCCTTCCACTTCCAAGACATGACGGTCAAACGCGGTTTTGACGATATTATTTAAATACTATAACAATATAACATGTACGTCTAACATTCGATTATTGTTTTTGACCATCAGATAACGGGATCCCGTCGGACTTGGACATAAGCAGAGTGGGCTCACGCGTATTGGACGAACTCGTCAAACCGTTGAACGACGTGCAGATCGACGACACCGAATTCGCGTGTCTAAAGGCTATTGTTTTCTTCGATCCAAGTAAATAAATTATTAATCTAACAGTACTTACCTTCATACGTTACTTTATTATTATATAATATCACTGTGCCGTGTTTCGCGGTATGCTATGGCGTGATCCTGTCGGCTATCGTGCATACCAGACGCGGTATAATGTTATGAATATAGTACAATGTTTTGTTGTTACCGTCATAATAGTGTTCATTGCGATTTTAACGGTCAAATTTTTCTCATTTTTTCTCCCGACACAGATGCCAAAGGCCTGAACGAATCGGACCGCATTAGACGTATGCGCAAGCAAATCCACAGAAACCTAGAAGACTACATCAGCGACAGGCAATATGAGACTTGCGGCCGGTTTGCCGAACTGTTGCTCACACTGCCGGCGTTGCAGTCGATCACTTGGCAAATGATCGAACAAATTCAATTCGCAAAATTGTTCGGAATGGCGCACATTGAACCGCTGTTGCAGGAGATGTTACTCGGAGGTATAAAACGCGCTTGCTTATATAAACATATTTATAATAATGTTGAAGATTTCATGCTTTAATCGCGTTAAGTCATCGAGTGGCTAGGTTATTCGTATTAGAGAAACACTATAAAAGTGGTTTATATAAGCCTCCTAACAAAATTTAAATAAGCGATAAATTATAGAAACATAAGGGAAACTAAAAAATTACTAGAAACGTTGGTTGTTTTATAATTGCGTTTATTAGTTACAAGTTACAACGTTATATGATTTTACATTTTACAAATTATTAATGAAGAAATCGGATGATTTAGTGTTGGAAATAATATTGACGTTAACGGGAAGAGAACGAACATATTTTAGAAGTTCAAATATTACGAAAGACGAGAGGTAGAATGGTTTTACGAAATGAACATTTTTGATGAGCAATGTAAGTGAATTTGTTCAAAATCAAAAATAGTTTCATCGAGGTGAATAATTAAGCGAGAGGAATAAAGGAATATTTGTAGGACGGGTCTGTTCTGTGAAGCACAGTGAAAACTATTAAGATTTTCAAGCTTTCCAAGTTAAATTGACTGCGATGTATACAAAGGTCCGAAGGGGGTGTTTTGAAAGGAGAAAAATAAATCAATTATCTGATGAGAAAAGCGAGACGAACTACGGTTTCATCACTGTTGATACCGACATGAAAAGAAAAAAAAAGTTTTAGGTTTTTTAGTCGTTATGCGGGAATGTTGAAAACCATAAATTTATAATTTTACATGTAGAATAAAAGTGGATTAGGATGTGTTTAATGAGTAAAGGGAGATAGAAAAAGTACGTGATTGTTTGAAGAGTCGTATACTTATTTTGCATTATTAACTAAAAATACTTACAATCCCTTCTTCTGAGAACCTTTTCTATTTATTTAAATTTTGAGTAAACTTTTTACGATTTGTTTCAAGTTTATAAATTACTTCTTCTTCTTCTTAGGCGTTTACAGGTCATTCAGGCCCATTGCCGCTACAACCACTTGTCTCCACCTGTCTCGGTCTCTTGCCAACTCTTCCCTATCCTCTATTCCAAGTTTAAGTTATGACGTACCTAAATACGACAGGATGTATACTATGTCGAGTCTCTTTATAGTTAGAAATAGTTTTACTTTTTGCTTTTGGGATGTTGAACTTTTTTTTTTTTTTTTCTAATAATTACGCAGATATTGTAACTTTTACTTATCAATATTTCGGTTGTAAATTAGTGAGTAGATAATCAACAATCGACTTTAGTATAGTAAACTATAGATAAGGAATGCGTATTTAAAACTTATTAATAAATGCTTATTGTTATTACCTAGTAAGTTACCTACTCGTTGTAAACGAGCGAATTGTGTAATTACTTATTAACCGATTGCATAATTTTAGAAAAGATTTTTAAAAAAACCCATCACTAAAAATCGTTTCTGTTTTGGTACAAATATTTTCAAGGGTTAATAAGGTTTTAATTGGAGAAATATTATGACCTTTTAAATGTTTTGATTTGCGTTCAGTGACGTGTTGAACGTTGATCACAACGTTTGCGCGTAGTTTGATAGTATTTTATTTTCACCAATAATATGTGTCACTTGCGAGGGGAAACCCTTAAAACGAAATGAAAGTAGTACAATTTTTTTTTTTTTTTTGTCGCCGAACAGGAGCTTCAATTGACGCCGATGCAAACGCCCATCAAGATAACAAAAACATCAATGTCATCAATGTGCCATAAACTAAATAATTCATTACGATTCCAGAACGTCTATTGCGATTGACCACCAGAACGTTGGATTCTTTTTATATAGCTTCGTATATAGGTCGATAACTTCTATATTCACTTTACATAATATAATGTTAAACGTTAATAATCGTCATAACTCATAATATATTGCCTCGACTTGTTTGAATAATAATTTTAACATTGGGATGCTATTAATTTGAATACCTGGTTAACATACTATTTTTGTTATTGTTTTATTTTTATTTTATTATTATAATTGTACTAAGACTTGTGTAATGTATTCCCCCTTCTCTCTCTCTCTCTCTCAATAAGTAAGTCTAGTAATACAATAGTCAGATTAGGATCTCCTATAATCTACTATACCTGTAATAAAAAAAAAAAAACAACAAAATTATTCAATAACCTTGATTAAATATTCAAACTACTAAATCGACAATACAAACATATGTGTACCTTTGTTTAACAAATTATATTTTTTTTTATTTATGTTGGATTTGTCGTGTTAATTCACTACAATTTCACTGTCAATAGTATATACATTTATGTGCAGATATATATGTGTGTGTATTAAAAATACTGTCCCAACTATATTGTATAGCTATTTTGTACATTGACATTAGGTATAGGCAGGTAAACTTATGTATAATAATTCAGTCGTTTTATATATGATTGATAATTTTTTATTACATTTTTAATTAAAACAAATAAGAAAATTGTAATTTATACTTTTATTTGAAACCCTATATTCTATATGTTTTAATAATTTATACGTAAGTAAGGCATAGATAATAAGAACATATTTATAACTTTTAAAGGAAATTCTTTTTTTTTTTTATTTAAAGTTTGTATATCAACGATTATTATTTTTATTATTATTATTATTATTGATCTGTATATTGCGTTATTGTTTTTATTTCAATTGTATATTTTATTATCTTATAGAAGCTATTCAAGAACAAAACACGCACTATTTTAATACTATCATTTTTAAAGAATAAGTTATATTGAAATAAACTTCATTGTAGTAGTGTAATGTATATTATAATAAATATTTTATCAGATTTACAAAAAAAAAAAATTAAATATTATTATTGCTTATCATACACAAATCACCAGTTGAAATTTTTTGTTTAATCATTTAAGCTAATTTTAATGATTTATGTTGATTGAATTGTGATGTTAGACTGTTCTTTAAGCTGAAAATATCCCCTTTCAAAAAAAAAAAAAAAACAGAAAGCATTGTGTGGAACACAACTAGCTGAACTTCATTCCAAAAGAGGTATTCTGAAATCTCAACACACTTTACATATATATTTTGAAATTGTCTACTGTTATATTAACTAAATGCTTATATAATACAAAACTTGTTCACAGATTTACCGGAGAAAACACTATAGGACTACTTTTATTGATTTTTTATCCAAGTGTTAGATGATTAGTTGATGCACTATATGTTTTGCATACCATTATTTGGCTTAAGGATATAAATCATTAAAATGATAAGTACTAATAAAAGAAAATTAAAATAAATTTATTTGATTAATTGAAATACAATGCAAGTTGCAAGTACTTCAAGTGTCATCACACATCAAAAATAACTTTAGTATACAAGCACAGTTACCAGAAACAGAATTGCATTTATTCAGGTCTATGAATATTTCTTTAAATGCCATATTATATCTTATACCCTATTCACTAAACATAGACTGTTGGTCAGTATATTTATCAATAAAAAGTTGATAATATAGGAAATAACAATGAGTCATTTTTTTTTTTTTGTTTCGATCAACAGTGATAAATTAATTTTTTTAGCTTGCTAATTTTTTATATTGAACTCATCGCAAGTCTACTAAACCATGTTTAGGCTTAGGTATAACAATATGATGCTGTATGTAGTTCCACCTCTGGCACTTACAGATTACACGAACAGTATTATTATTTTTAATTATAGTCTGGCATGAGTCATAGAAAAAATTATTTTAAGTAAGTTAATACTCCTAGTATCGCCATATACATTATTACTTGCTACAGATATGTGCCATAAGCACAACCGTGGTTATCTACTATTAATAGTCTTTGTCCCTTTGATAATATAAATAAAATAAAAGCTTCTATTTTGATAAAAAAATTTAATTACAATTAATTTTACTATGAATATCTTATTAAACAATTACAATTCCATTATGTTCATTTGTATCACAATTTACTTTGGTTACTTAACACAACTTTATTAGCATCTTCCAAACAAATTATTTTATTTTTAATCTAGTACACGACTTTCATGAATTTTTCGTTTTCTGTAATTCAATATCATAGCAGCGATTTCCATTTGACCTGATCCTTCAGTTAAATATGTATTTAAATGTTGCTGTGCTACTCGAGCATCATTAAATATCAACCTCTCGAGACAGTCAAGTCTATTAAAGCATGGCTGATTGTCATCTATATTCTGTGCCCAATCCATGGTCTGTTTAAATCTGTCAATGAATGTCTACATAAGAACAAAAACAAATAAATAAATAATATATTTATATAATTTTATCTGGATATTTCATGATAGATTATTTAATTGTATTATTATTACTTGAATAAGAGTTCTTCTGACTTCATATGCTTCTCGATGTTCTAATTGAGACAAAAATTTTCCAAACAAATAGAAATGCTTACACAATTTGAATAAATCGACTACGTTTGCATCAGCTGTTAAGACACCCCTAAAATTAAACATAAATGTTTGAACACAGTTTAAGCTAAAACATAATAATTTAATAATACACTTAATAAATATACCTGTAAATTTCATTATATGCTTTGGGCATTTCAAACTGAATTGATTTTCCTACTAAAAACACTTTAACCATCCACAAGGGAAGTTCAATTTTTGGATCAGATTCTTCATCTTTATCAGAGTAAATTGAATCTAAAAAATCTAGAATAATACATATGAAAATTATTACCTATATTTTATTTTACTGCTGGCTGCATTTGGTGGCAACCGAGTTTTAGAATTTCTAATGTTTGATTATTAGTATAGTACTATAGGATTTAATAATTGAATTTATACAATATATTTTCTACAAATGTTTGTACTAATTTATCATTTTTATAAAAAAATAAAATTATAATCAAACTTATAACCAGCCTATACTTTGAGCGGCTCATCAAGATTTTCTTAATATGGCCGGCTCAATCTGAGCCTGGTAGGTTTGAAGAGTTTGAAGTATATAACATAAATTCTAATCCTTTTTTTCTAATACTAGTACTAGTAGTACTTATTTATTTATTATTTAAACAATTATGAAGTCGCACTAATATTTTACGAAACATGTAATATATTTTTTTTTAAAGTGCACATATGTAATAATTAATAACTAAACAAATGGTATTAAATTAAATACATTTTTCATAAATTAAAAAGAAAAAAACTATTTAATTTTCTTTTTTATTATAAAAATGTTATATTATTTATTAGAATTACAAATTTATTGTAAAACATTGTATTTAAATGATCAAATAATATCACACTAATGTAGTCATTATAATTTAGAGCTATAGCCTTTAAATAATACTAGAAATATGAAAATTTTAAAAAGAGTACCTATTTAATCAGTTAATGAACTTTAAACTAATTCTACAATTTAAAAATATGATTTTTACTCTTTAGCTGACAACTTAATTGATAAAAACAACTCATACTTAGCTAATTATAGCTGATATACAAGAGAAAACCATAGCTTAAAATAATACAAACAAAAAAACAAAAACTTACCAACATGTTCGACCTTTTTAATAAACGAACATTGAATTTTTTCTTGAGCAGCCATAATGGCATCAATTGAGAAGTAATGAGGTTTTATATTTCTGTACATATTAGTCTGAAATAATAATTTAAAAATGATAAACAATACATATAAAGATGATATTATAAAAAAAAAAATGCAACATACCAGCTATATGTCGATACGAAAAAAAATCTATTGTTGTTATGTACTTAGTGTAAATGTATAAATTGACAATAAAAATTCCCAATCATGGCTTAATAGTCTTAAATAACACAATCAATCGATACAGAATTCATTTTTATAACACTAAAGACTAAACCGTTATTACAAATTCCAAAAGCTGATATTTTTATAAGGCATTTTACCATTTTGATGAAAATAACAAATTATTATCACGAAGATGTCTACTGTAAATTATGAAACGTTCAATTTATCACTTTCTGATAAAGAAAAAACGCGGTAAACCGATGACAAGAATACTGCTTATATAGTTGCGTGTGTATTACTTACAAGGGGTAGTAAATCTACTACGATCTGTAGTTTTAAAAATTGATAATCTTACATTCTTACGTCTTATTTCATAAAATGTATTATTGTCGAAGCGTAAATCTATTGTTTTGTACATCTGAAGATTACATTTCTACCGTGACGATTAATTTCATCTCTCGATAAAAAAAATTTGATAAATACAAACGAGTCGTTTATGAGAAAAATTCAACAATTCAATAAATCAGTGGACTGGGTTATATATTGCATGCTGTACATTATTTTTGTAAAATAGCGACGTACACATGTCGACCACTATACTGCTTCATCATCGTCGAGTGTAGTTCGCCAGCAGTAACGTTGGTTAAAATTTTAATACTCGCACAGCTTTACCAAATTTTTCAACGAGTCAGTTATAACTTTTAACATCGACTTTGAGTAAGTATTAAATGTGCAACGGAAATGTATAACGCTTTGTTTAAAATCATTAAACATATCAATATTTTATTATTCATTTATCCATTTATCTCTTAACATTTTTGTGTGCAACATAACTGTCAACTATAGTAATTACTAGTAATAATAAATTGTCTTTAAAGTGCTTAAATCATTAAATAGGTATTAACTATTAACTATTTTTAGGTTTCGAGCGGAGCGATGATATATTGATTTTACAGTGATGTATTGATGTGAATGGGTTTTTTTTTCTGCGTTTGTAAATACAATAAGAAGTCGATGAAATGATTTGATTTCAAAAATGGCGATAGTTTCCGATTCCGATAACAAGTTGGATCTAGTTGGTTTTTTAAGAGGGTCAAAATTTCTAGTTAGTACTTTTTTTCATAGTTACAAAAAAAAAAATTAAGGAACAACGAGAATTTAGAGTAGATACTTGAAATTTTTCTTATGTTATAGTTATATTATCAAAATTTTTAAAATTCTTTGACTATTTAGCATTTTATTGGCATGAAAAATGTTCAATATATTTTAGTTTTTTTCAATTAATATCTATAAAAATGATTTACCGAGTCAAAGTTCTTGAAAATGTATAATGTAAGAATGTAAGATTCCACCTACATTATTTTCTATATTTTTATCAAGATGTTAAAATTACATAAGTACAAATTGTTTTGTATGCATTTAAAGTTAAAATTTTAACAAAATTCGTCAAAATTGCAAACAATTTAAAATTATTTTGTAGTTAAAAAATCATAAAAAATTTTTGTTTTGTATCTAAATCTTGAAAATGTAATACAATATTAATTATAAATAGCTTATACTAAAACCTTAAAAATCTAAAAACAGATATAAATATTTTTTTATAGACATTTTAAGTTTAAATTTGGACGAAATTACTTATTGGAACGATAAATAAAGATGTTAATTATTATTTTGTTATAAATCAAAAACATTATTCGTGGGGATTATTACGTGTATTATATAATTATGAATTTCACTATACGCAATTATATTTTTTATTTATTTTAAAATATTATCTATTTATAGGTACTATGAACCTATTTTTATTATTTTACGACCTATTTTTATTATTTTACGGTATTTACAGAAAGATATTATTAAATTTTAAATTATATACAATGCGGTAAATATATTTATATTATTATAGTAATTAAATACTCAAGTTTAATAAATAAAAAGTTTTTGGAAAAAATTAAACCTATTAGGTAATCCATCGTAATACGCATTTACATTTACGTTTGTTTTCAAACCGCTGTAAACATTTTTTTCTCAGTAAATTATTTAAATGTGATTCATTTAGTTTTTGTGAAACATAATTCTCCCTCAATATAGACGATTTATTTGCTACATTTACTACTTTCAATAATTATTATAATAAATGCTTAAAAACTTAATATAAATGATGATCATGCACTAATGATAGTGTCAATCTCGACGTCGAGTTGATATCAGATATTATATCTCCAAATATCAACCAATTTATTATAACTTGTGATACTGATATCAAAATTGATAAAAATTAAATTTTACCTAGTGGTGTTTTGTTTATTTAGATTTTAGAAATGTTCATCTATTCATAAAAGTTAATAATACGATAATTATTAATTTGTAAGTACTTAAACTAAACTGTAAGCTTTTCTTATTTTAAAAGAAGTTGTTTTATATTTTAAACTTACTTATTATTCGTATTGTTTTAAATATTATTTACATTTTTAGGTGACTTGTTATAAATCTATATAGATGTGTTCCAATAATGAAAATTAATATTATTCATTTAGCATTGAGCTACTAAATAGTTAATTGTTCGTTTATTTAATTAGCTTAATACAGACAAAGACAATGACTTCAATATTACAAAAAGTGTTGGATATTCCCAGTGTAGTATCTCATTTGTTAGAGGTTGATATTAAAGGTAAGGGCTAAATGCCTTGCGAGTAGTTAATTCACAATTTTTCTGTATGCACTAGTGTACCTAACATTTTACTAATTTCTTTAATGTATGAAATAGATATTACCAATTGCAAAATTTTGGGACAAGAACAAAATGGAGAGTTTATTCTCTGTTGGAACTTAAGTGGTCAAGGAGGATCTTGTACCGCAGTTGGATTGTTTTTTTACACCATCAAAAAAATACAAGTGAGATCAATTAGATGTTATTACTGCTGTGGTCTACTAGGGATGCAATATTTCTGAAATGTCTTTTTACTGTACTTATTATTTATGATATTAACTGGTGGTAGTCGGCAGTCACATAACAAAATTAAGTTCACTGAAAAATTATTTAGATAGTTGCAATAACCAATAAGAATCTCTTGTTTTTAGCCAGTTAAGGGTCCTTCCCCCCTAACAAAAAAATATTTAGAGTACCTACAATAGATCTGTATACCACTAAAATAATTGAATCAAATTTTCAAATTCTTTGGAGTGCACGTTTTTGGTATAATTAATATATTAATACTTTAACAACTGTTTTGTCTATAACTAACTCATAGATTGGTTAACTATATTTATTTGTTTTATAAATACAGCCCCTCATGAGACCATTTTAATAAATGTATTACAAATATGCAGTGTAAAATGATCATTATGTGGTATGAGTGTATGACATACAACTGATGAACGTTTGTTTCTAAATATTGCGAAGCATTAAATCTCAAGTATGTTCTGATTAATGCGACTCTACTGTACTATTATTCCAATGAATAGAGTTTACAAAAATATTTTCATTGATACATACTCTAAAAGTACACAGTTTAATGTATACTATTTATTTTTATAATTTCTAACAATACCAGATTGTCTAAATCTATCTTAATTTTTTACTTCTATACTATTTTTTTTTTTTTAACTGATAAGATATTTTTTGAACTTGATAATTGTATGTAGTAATAATTTACTAATACGTTATAAATTTATATAAATTTGTAAATTGTAGTTAATCAAGTAATGAAATCCCCATAAAAATTAATAATTATTCTCTAAATTATGATAAGTTTTTCATATAGGTATAATTATATAAAACAAAATAATTTATTTTAAATTATTTAATTTTCAGGTTTTAATTAAGTTTAAGCATTTGGTGAATATTGTTCAAGCTTCAATCAATTATAAAAATTCAATTCTTGGTAATACTATTACTTTTGTTAGACATCAATGAATTTTATTTTAAATATTTACTTTCAGGCTATGTAACCAAAGAATCATTTGAAGACTGTATGGAATATTATCGTGTTTTTATTATCCACCTTGAATATCCTGATTTTGATCCAGTTGATTTAAATGTTAACAATCGTCGCCAAACCATGATTCAATTTTTATATAGAAAACGTAAACAGCCAGACAATGATCGCTTTTTAGTATTTATTCATGAAACATGTAAGTTATTTTGTTTTAAAATATTTTATACTTATAATTTCATTCATGAGATTATTCAATTGAAAAACAATCGAAATCTAACAACTGATAGAAAATTAATATTGCTTAAATTTAGCTATAACACTTTATCAAGTGGAGGAAACTGATATTGTAAAGGTGAACAGTTTTCATAATAGCATGCTAAACATTATTTTATAGTTTGCCTTTTATTTACTATATAATTATTTTATTGAGTTTTATTGTAATTTTTAGAACCATTTAAATATAAAAAAGCAAGATCAAGTTGTGAATCAATTTTCATGGGCTCAATGGGAACCTCAGTATCAATGTTTATTTTACATTCATTATTCAAATATGGCTAACAGTAATTCAGATGAAGCTAGTCTCTCTGCTTTACAATTTCATGATGAACCTCAACATGAAACTGTGGTATTTATTTAGTATATTTGATGTAGTATAGTTGTTTTTAGTTATAATTTCAATGTTAAAAAATATTTTAGTTAAATGTCCCATTAAACCTGCCAAACAGAAAGAGAACAGCTGAAAATCTTTCGAATGGTTATTTTGATATTCCTGTACCATTGTGTGTTCATGACAGTATGTTAGATGTCCGAGTGTTGTCGGATGCACGAGGATTTGTTGCAGTTTGTCATTATTATTTATATCAAGTATGTAACCTATTGTTTTATATTTTTATAACTATATTGCAATTTAACATTTTATTTTTATTTTTTACCAATATCCAATATTTATAAGAAATATTAACTATTACTAAATACTAATTCTATATTTTCTATATTTTAGTATTCTAGTTTTTAAAATGATTGGTTATAAAAACTGAAATATTTTATCTACTTAAGGTATTTGTAAGAAATGTTTTCAAAATAAAAAACTCATTTTTAAATTTATCATTTTTGTGCGAAGAAGGAAAATAATCTGTACTTTTACTATTACTTGTTTTATCTGATTTTTTTGGAATGGTGAATTTACATCAATTAATCAATAAATTGTTATATATAAGTGGTTCACTTAGGT